AAGGATAGCTATACAGGGAGTTGACTCACATTAATTTCCTGTGCATTCAATATTCCTTTGATCAACCAGTTCTATATTCATTCTTAAACTCTTTTGAACTAATCTTCATACCTTAATGCTTTCCTTATTAACAAAAGAGTAAAAGCTTTGAGAGGTGGAGATGTAGCTCAGTGGTAGAGAGCTTACCTAATATGTACAAAGCCTTGTATTCCACTCCCAGTACTGAAAAAAAAATCTTTGAAATGGGCTTATTTTGTATTTGTTGGAGAATCGTATTATTTAACTTTTGAAAATTATTTTTTGCTGCCTCCTAAGTTCTTCATGGCTCTACCTCAGCAGGCTGTGGCTGAGGACAGGAAGGGGCGGTAGTGGCGGTGAGCCGGGTGATCACATAGCAAAAGGCAGCATTATATTCCTTTATGCGGCTGCCCACCATTGTCTCCCCTTTGAATGGCATCCTAATAAATCTTTGAAAAAGAAATAGAAAAAGGCATGAGGGATCTCCTGAGAGAAGCCTGGGAGCTCTGATGTTTGACTGCTTGATACCCTGACTTGCTCTGAATGCCTAAGTCACCTACCAGCTACAGCTGCCCCAGGTTCTTCTCCACTGAACTGCAATGCTGAATCCCTCTCAATTGAATTCTCAAGCAGCAAAGGCTCTGACCCAGCAGGGAGGGGACTCTTCCCAGCTGTGATGGCCTGGTGGTGTCCACCACAGCTGAGGAGAGAGACTGCTTCCTCCTTCTCCCATCTCTTGCAGACCTAGAGAACCAGTGTCATGGTGAGGACTGTGACTGTCACACTGGCCATGAACTTTCTTTGAAATGTTCCTTAAAATGCACACCAGGGGCTGGGGATGTATCTCAGTGGTTGAGTGCTTGCCTAGCATGCATGAGACCCTGGGTTCCATCCCCAATACAGGGAGAAAAAAAAGCACACCAGGAGTGGGGATGCAGGTCAGTGGTAGAGGGCTTGCCTAGCATGCTTAAGTTGGAGAGAGAGAGAGCGAGAGAGAGAGAGACAGAGAATGCACAACTCAATTTTCTAACTACTTTTTGTCCTTTTCATCAAGTAAAACCACCCTTCTAAAGAGTTCCATTTTAAGACAAAGAAAAGATAAAAGAAAAAAAAGAGTTCCATCTTGTGTTAGTCTTGTGGTTTAGCCCCAATTTAAGAAAAAACTATGATGCATTTCTGTTGGTTCTGGAATCTGCATATAGGGGTTGGGGATTTAGCTCAGTGGAAGAGCGCTTGCCTAGCAAGTGCAAGGCCCTGAGTTTGGTCCCCAGCACCAAAAAAAAAGGAAAAAAAATGGAATCTGCATATAATTATCCTCTGCAAGTGGTAACATTGTTCCAGTTACTGGTCAAGAAACTGAGACTCCAAGCCTTAAGTGGCTTGCCCAAGGTCACATGTGCTATGTCTGATTGTGATCCTGCTCTTCCTTCGTTTATAATTATTTGTTCCTCCACAGGCAGATTTTTAGGCATTAGACACCCCAAGGTCCCACCTACCTCTTCCTCAGATAGGAAGACAGGCCCAGAAAGAGCCCAGAGTTACACAGGGATGAGATGCAAAACCAGGACTCAAAAACAACAGCCAAGAGATGCCCCCTGGAAGCCTAGATACACCCTTTTTTTTAACCAACCAGGTTCTTGTTTGTAAAGGCTGCAGGAAATGATGCTGAAGGTGAACAGAGGATGGAGTCACCAGGAGTGATAAATTAGGGTTCAAGCTGTGGCCTTTGGGCAGGTTACTACCCCTCTTGGAGTCTCAGTGATACTGGAGTTTGAACTCAGGGACTTGTGCCTGCAGGCACTCTATTACTTGAGCCAGGCCTCAGCCCTTTTTGCTTTATTTTTCAGGTAGTGTCTTGTGTTTTTGTTTAGGGCCGACCTGGGCCTTGATGTATGGCCACCAGTGTAGCTGGTATGACAGGGATGTGCCACCACAGACTAGCTTATTGGATGAGGTGGGGTCTAACTTTTTGCCTGGGCTGGCCTTGAACCTTGGTCCTCCCAGTCTGTGCCTCCTGAGTAGCTTGCATTACAGGTGTGAACTACCCCATCCAGTTGGCCTTAATTCTTGAATGTATCAAATGGATGAATAACTGGAAAACTTGAAAGAGACAAGGGTTTACAAGGCAAATAACTTTACAAACCTATAGATTACCAAGAGGCTCATTCTGGGTTCTAGAGCCAGACTGCCTAGACATGGATCCAGATTTTGTCCCTTAAATAGCATGCACCTTGGGTAAATTTCTATGTCTCAGTTTCCTCACATGCGAAATGAAGGTAATAACATGACCTAATTCATAGGGTAGTTGTAAGGGTTTAAATGATCAGAAGTGTCTGGTACAAATGCTGGTTACTCAGTCATCAGTTTTTAGCAAAGGCTCAGTTCTCAGAGTATAGATCTTCTGTAACCCCAGATTACAGATCTTTTCTCTACAGAGTTACAGGTCCCGACCCCAGTCCCACTAGGTCCTGCCCTCTGTCATCACGTCCCGCCCCAAGCCGTCCATTGGTTCCTCCAACCGCGAGGGGGCAGCGGCGATGAGAGCCGCTTTCTGGCCGAGGTAAGCGACGCTCTAGACAGCAGCGGCTTCTCTTCTGTAGCGGGTGTCGGCGGCGCTCTAGCCGGCGGGTGTGAGGGGCGTGTTCTCAGTGGTGCAGCCGGCGGCAGCTATGGCGGCCGTACGCGGCCTGCGAGTGTCTGTGAAGGCGGAGGCCCCGTTGGGGCCGGCCTTGGGGCTCCCGTCACCTGAGGTGGAGTCTGGCTTGGAGCGTGGCGAGCCGGAGCCCATGGAGGTGGAGGAGGGCGAGCTGGAGATCGTGCCGGTGCGGCGCTCGCTGAAAGAACTGATCCCGGTACGGGCGGGGGGCGAGGAGGAGGTCGCCTCGCCGGAAGGGGAGGTGATGGGCGTCTCGGCCCGGGAAGTCCGGGAAGGGGGAGAGGGGCGCGAGCGCCGGGGGGCGAGACGAGGGCCAGTCTTGAGACCCGGGGCGAGCGAAAGGACGCCCGAGCGCCCGGAAATCAGTGTTGAGAGGGCTGGAGGAGGTGGGGAGAGCGGGGAGAGCGTTGAGGACACCCCCCCGCCCCTCGGCGCGGGGCGGTGCTGGGGAGCAAGCGAGGAGGGGCCCTGACGGAGGTGGCGCCGTCCTCCGGGTCTCCTGGTGGGTCCTGCCCGGGTGTAGGTGGCGTCTGGAAACGGCGCTCGCGGGGAAGGGCTGGCTTGGCCGCAGCGAGCATTGTAGCTGCTGTGACGCCAGAGTCATCTCGTCCGGCGCATCTCCTCTGCCGTGTAGCACCTGCATTCGAAACCAGAGTATCAGGGGACCAGCCCCTGGTCTCGTAGCGCAGTGGAATGGTGAGGGGTGTTAGGCTTGAGGTTTGATAGTCTTAGATGACTCTGATGAGGCCTGGATGGCTCAGATTCACACGTAATATGAACTTTAAAAAAAATTACATGTCAGCAAATCTTGCTTTTAAGCTGAAGTTATGGGAAAAGGCTAAGGCTAGTGATAGCAAATGATATTGATACTACATGATATCATTTAATATCAGTGCAGTTGTGATGTAGATATCATCCCTTCATTCAGTTCAATATTGTGTGTATTGCATCCTCCACTTTGTGCCAGGGTAGTCCTACGTGCTGGATCAAGATCAGACTGTCCTTTGGAGTTTTATGTTCTAGTGGGAGACACAAGTAAATAAACCATTTCTGTTAATCGGATAGAAAGTTCAGGTGCTGGGAAGGTGGGCAGAGTATGAAGCAGAGTGTGATAGAATGGTCAGGGAAGTCCTGAGATAGTGACATTTAAGCTGAATCCCAGATGACAACAAGGAGCCAACCATGTGCAGATGGAAGGGAGCATTCCGAGTAGATGCAACAGCAAGCACAAAAGGCTCTGAGACCGGAACAAGATTGTTTAGTTGGAGAGATACTAAATTCTGTGAAGCACAAAGGGGAGAGCAGAGAAAGAGTTCGGGAAGACAGGCAGATACCATGCAGGAAATCAAGAGGTCCAAGAAATTGTATGGAGTAATGTAATTAGTGAATATCAGAGCTGAGACTTTGCACATCCCATCCTCTTCATTGCACTGTGCTGTGTTTCCCAGGAGTTGGGGGTGAATCTGAACTTTATGCATTTTGGTGGAGGCTTGTGCTCCACCTGGTGGCCTTGCATGGGGAAATTTGTCCAGTCTGGTTGGGGAGATAAGTGACTGTGCCTCATCTTTGACATTTTTCATGAAAGTCTTTACGTTTTCAGTTGATGGAATTCCTGAAGTTTATTATTTAAAAAAATTTTTTTTGGTTGTTCTGGAGTTTGAATTTAGGGCCTCAGGTTTGCCTGGCAAGCACTCTACAACTTTCATCCACTCCACCAGCTCTTTTTTGTGTTGGGTATTTTTGAGATAGAGTCTCTCAAACTGTTTGCTAAGGCTGGCTTGGAACCGTGATCCTCCTGGTCTCTGCCTCCCCAGTAGCTAGTGTTATGGGCATGAGCCACCAGCACTTGACTTCCTAAAGGTTTTGAACAGGCTTTGACCTAGAAAAGATTTCTATGGAGTCAAAGGGATGAGCTTCTTTTTAATAAGGGGTTGCTGGATAGAGAAGGCCTGTTGAAAAGAATGACTGTTCAAAAAGAACCAGTTGTCAGGTTGCCTTTTAGCATAGATTTTTGCTGTCAGAATTTCTTACCTTTCTTTTTTGTGTTAGGATACAAGCAGAAGATATGAAAACAAGGCTGGCAGCTTCATCACAGGAATCGATGTGACCTCCAAAGTAAGACAGAATTGTTTTTCTTTTTCTTTTTTGACTGTACTGCGATTTGAACTTAGGGTCTCATACTTGGTAGGCAGGTAGTCTACCACCTGGAGCTACACCTCACCCTTTTGTTTTGACATAGGGTTTTACTCTATGCCAGGGCCAGCCTGGACCTTGATCCTCCTATTTGTGCTTCCCTGTCCAACTATTGGTTGAGATGGAGTCTCCCGAACTTTTTGTCCAGGCTAGCCTCAAACCTTGATCCTCCTGGTTTTTGCCTCCCAAGTAGCTAGGCTTGAACCACCACTCCTGGCTAGAATTTTGAGTTTGATATGCAGGTGAACTTAATGAACTTGATCCCTAGGACTTGCAGAACTACAGATACTTTTTTTTTTTCTTTTGTTGCTAGATTAAAATTTTTTTATTTTAAATTGTCACATGGTGATGGTGTGTTTTCATGTATCCTGGAAACATCCGGGTAGTACTGTGTTCTTGCATTGTGAGAAGATAAAATGACCATACCTAGATACCTGTGCTTAAGAAAGCACAGAAGGGTTCTATACCAGCAATTTTTTTCTTTTTTCTTTTCTTTTTTTTCTTTTTTGAGACAGAGTCTCACTATGTAGCCCAGCCTGGTTTCCAACTCTCAATCCTCCTGCCTTAGCATCCCAAGTAATGGGATTATAAGTGTGCACTATCACACCTGGCTCCAGGAATGCTTTTTTGGGGGGCAGCATTGGGGTTTGAACTCAGGCCTTATGCCTAATAGATGTTCCTACCTAAGCTTGAGCCACTCTGCCAGCCCCTTTTTTTAAAATACTATTTCCATTCTTTGAAAATGTGTTTTGTTTCTACTTAATTAATTAATTAACTTGGCAGTACTGGAGATTGGATTTAGGGTCACATTTGCAAGGCAACTGCCCCCAGTCCTTATGCTTTTAAGTTTTTCAGATAGGGTCTCAAGCTTCCTACCTGTGCCTCCTGAGTAGCTGGGATTACATGATGCTCAGCATTTTTTGTTTCTTTTTTTTCCGGTATTGAGGTTTTGAACTCAGGCCTCATGCTTGCTAGGCAGGAGCTCTACCACTTGAGCCACTCTGCCAGACCTTTTTTGTGTGTTTTTGAGATAGGGTCTTGTGGATTCTTTGCCTGGGCTGACTTTGTATCGTGATCCTCCTGACCTCTGTCTCCTGAGTAGCTAGGATTACAGGTGTAAACCGTGGGCACCTGGCAAAGAGTTTGTTACATGCCACAAAGATTTCTTTTTCCACCTTGCGTTATAATCATGCTCCAGCATCACCATCACTTCTAACTCCTGGTAGCTACCAATCTGTTCTCCATCTCTATGATCTTGTCATATAGATGGAATCCTATGACTCTTGACAGTACTGGGGTTTGAACACAGGACCTCATGCTTGCTAGGTAGGTACTTACCACTTGAGCAACAACCCCAGCCCCAGTTTATTTTTTTGACCGAGTCTCAGTGACTCTTGCATGGGTTGGCCTTGAACCTCAGATCTTCTGTCTCTGCCTCCTGGAAAAGTGTTTCCACTTTCAAAAAACAAAACATGAGCACTACCTAGCACATTGTAGGCCCTTGGTAAATGTCTCTATTCCTAATATTGGTTGAGCCTTAGAAAAATAGAAGGTTTTTTTGTGTGAGTGATTTTTTTTTTTTTTTCCTGGTGGGAGGAGGAGGACAGAGTCTCACTTTGTTTCCCAGACTGGCTTTCAACTCACTGTGTAGCCTGGATGGGCCTCAAACTTGTGATCCTTTTCTCTCAGCCTCCTGAGTGCTGGGATAACAGCTATGCACCACCACAGCTGGCTGAAAAACAGGATTTTCTAATTGTGTATCTGTCTAAACTTTGAAGGCCAAGTCAACCGAGTTATTCTCAACATGTGAGAATATTGCCTTTTGCTGAGTGATTGCTGTTACCATAGTATGACCATTGTAACACCTTGGAGTGAAACATGTTATTTTCCTTACTATAGTTAGTCAATGCATATTTCTTGCTTTAATCCAGTTTTGACTTTTTTTGGGGGGGGCCTGTAGTTTGAACTTACGGCTTTGTGCTTGCAAAGCAGGCACTCTACTACTTGAGCCATGCATGCCTTCAGTCCATTTTGCTCTGGTTGTTTTGCAGATGGGGGGTGTCTCTCAAAACTATTTGCCTGGGCTGGCCTTGAACCATGATCCTCATGTCTCAGCCTCTCAAATAGCTAAGATTATAGGCATGAGCCACTGGCACCTGGCAAGTTTTGACATTTTTTTCTGATTTAAATATGTGTGATTAAGTTTGGAACAGAATCTTCAATTATACTTCTGAATATTGCTATATTGGAGACCTAAAAGAAAAAATAAAAGTAAATATGTTATACTTTTTTATTGTAGTTTATCTCAAGATCTCAGTTTGTCTCTGTCTCAGATTACTTAAAGGCCAAAAGAAAGAGCTAATCATTTTCTAGAAAGATAAGAAAACAAGATAAGGCGAAAATATCTTATTATTGTAATGGGAAAGAAGTAACCTGTTTATTTTTATTTTGGTGGTACTGGGGTTTGAATTCAGGGCCTTGCACTTGCTACGAGGTCTCTTATTACTTGAGCCATGCCTCTAGCCCATTTTGCTTTAGGCTGTTTTTCAGATAGGAGCTCATAATCCCCCCTCCCCCCATGAAGCCTTTGACTGTGATCCTCCTACTTATGCCTCCTGCATAGCTGGGATTATAGGCATGAACTATCATGCCTGGCTTGTTTGTTGAGATGGGGGTCTTACCAATTTTTCCTGGGCTGGGCTTGAACTGCAGTCCTCCTAATCTCCCCCTCCCAAATATCTGGGGTTATAGCCATAAACTGTCTCAATCCTATATTACTTGCCATTATATAAAATAAGTTATGGGAAAATAAATGGTAGTCCCAGAGTTGTTATTTAAATTGTTACTAAAAGAAAATAGATTATTGTTTGTACTAGGAAGACTTCAATGAAGAAAACAAGTACAGCTATTAAGAAATAACAGAAGTGTTGCTGCTTTATCAAGTTACATAAGCTTTCTTTAGTCAGACCTTCATTAGTGTGGCAAAGTCAGTATATAATTAGTGAAGGGTTCCTAACAGCCATCAGAAAGCCACAGTTGGACCTGGGTTCGTTTTATCTCTTGGAAATATTTTCTCAGTGAAGTGTCAATACTTCTTGTTACTTATAAATGAAAACTGGTGGTTGAGCACGCAGGGTCGTGCTTGTAATCCCAGCTACATGGGAGGTGGAGGCAGGAGGATTGTGAGTTTGAGGCCACCTGAGGCAAAGGTAGTAGTGATACCTGTTTGAAAAACAAAATACCCATGGGGGTGTAGCTCAATTGGTAATGCACTTACCTAACACGTGCAAGGATCTGGTTTCTATCTCTAGCATTGCAAAAAAGAAAAGAAAACTGGTGATTTCATACCAGGCTGAAATAGAGGAGTTTCTTTGCATCAGTGTTATTTTTAAACACGGAAGTTGCTTTAGGGACTGGACCATTCAGGCAGACATAATGTAGAAGAACATGACTGGTGTGATTACCATGCCCACAGAGAAAGTGGTGCTGGTGGCAAGGCTTCTAGAAATAGCATTGGAGTCAAAAGATCTGCCCCTTTAGCTAGCTGAAATACCTCCCACAAGCCTTAGTTTTTTTGTACCTCAGTTTTTGCTCTTGGAAAATTGAGATACTGAGATGTTTAGTTGTAATTCTTTGGCATGATTGCTGATAAAGAAATGCCAGAAAACTTCATAAACAAATAGTCATTCCTACCCTGTCCCAGTGATTGGCTGTGATAGGATGGAGATAATTATAAATTAATTATTATTTAATTATATATTAATTATTAATTATAAATTAATTATTCACTACATACTCTGAATATCCAGTTCTCTGTAAAATCCATTCAAGGTGCAGTGTTGCATATTTCTTCTGATTTAGGGCTGTCTCCAATGCCTCACATTGTGGTTTAACTTTCCTTCTCTGTGTTTTACCTTTTTGATTTTTTCTGTACTTTCTAGGAAGCAATTGAAAAGAAAGAACAGCGAGCTAAGCGCTTCCATTTTCGATCAGAAGTAAATCTTGCCCAGAGAAATGTAGCCTTGGACCGAGACATTATGAAGAAAGGTACAGGGTGTTTGGGGGGAAATTTCCTTATATTTCCCAGAAAGTGACTTTTTCCTGCCATTGTCGCATGCTTCTGGTTTTGTCCTTCACATCTTTCCTCATCCATGCACTCCCAAAGGAAGGAACTTGTGAAGTTTCCATTCTGAGTTTAAAGTTGAGGTGCTGGCAAGGTGTGTCTCAAATGTTGTAAGTGGAAAAAAAGAAATTATCTTCTCTGAAGAGTCCCAGAAAAAGTCATTATTTAGTGACATAGATGAAATGAGAGCCTGTGTTTCTATATATCCTTACTCACTTTCTGCTTTTTTATAGAGGCATTAACTTTTCTTTGCCTTTAAATGTAGTGTAAGTGTATCACAGTGAAGCCTTTTTTAGGGGAGTTGGAGTAATTTTGGGATTGGTAGAGAAAGCTATTAGCACTTTTATTGGTAATATAAATTCATGGTAAATACAAACCACCCAATAATAGTGTGTTGTCAGAGAAAGGTAAACTAATCCTATCCTGTGATATTAGTGTGTTTTACTCCCTACAACTCACCCTGAATTATCATTACAGTCATCTGTCCCAGTCTTACCAAAGTACTTACAAATAAAAGGGGAAACTATTCCTTTTTTGAAGTCTACATCCTATTTATTATTCCATTCTGATGTAAATCAATGAATGCAAAAGGCCTCTTTCTGTTATATTTGCAAGTATCAGTGTTTATAAAGGACTTAGTAGGCAGCCCTCTGATTGCATGTTGGAGGCCTATGCTGTGCTGTGAGTTTCTAGCCATGTTTGGTTGATAAAAATAAAAGCTCAGTAAACATGGGTTGAATGAATGGAATAATAACTACTATTTGTTGGGAATTTGCTTTTTTTACCAGGCACTGTCCTGTGAGCAATATGGTTTTTTTTTTTCACTTTTATTTGCATATATTTTATGCTTAATTTGTTCCTATGCTATAAGTTTTTGTTTCTTCAGTTTCTTCTGGGATATCTTTTTCTTCTGTGCAACCTTTTTTTCTGGTTTAGGAACAGTTTATTCCTTTTCAGTGATGATCATCTCAATGTGGCAGGGAAACTCATGTATGGGTTAACCAGACCATGAACTCTGTAAGTATGGTGGTGCAGTTTGGGGTCTTTGTTCACCTGGATATGTTTGATGATCAGAGAATCATCAAATCATCAGTTCAGCATCACTGCATTTTTAAGCATGTGCAGCAATAATTCAGCACTCTTTTTTGACCACCAACTCTGTGTCCAGCCCCACTGTTTGGCCTAGGCACACCTGTCGACTCCATCATTGTAATGCCAGAATGGCACCTATTGCTTCTTCAAAGTTACATCTTTCAGATACGTGGTGGCTTTTTGGATATGCATACCCTTGATAGCCTGGGCAGTTTCTTGAGTGTTCTAAAAGTGAATATGAAGATTTGAGTCTCTTGACTTGTGTGACTTTGTGGGGTTTTCCAGGTCAAGAGAGTAGCAAGCCATTTTCACAGGTCACCTCAGGACGCTTATAGGAAAAGGAAGGTTCTGGGATTTGAACTCAGGACCTTGTGCTTGCAAGGCATATGTTTACCACTTCAGCTATGGTCACCATGAGGAATACATTTTTATCATGATTTTACAAAGGAGGAAACTGTAAAAGTTTTTTTTTTTTTAATTTATATGTGCATACAATGTTTGGGTCATTTCTTCCCTCTTCCTCCTGCCCCATCCTTTACCCCCCACCTTATGCACCCTAACCCCTCACTACCAGGCAGAAACTATTTTGCCCTTATCTCTAATTTTGTTGAAGAGAGAGTATAAGCAATAATAGGAAGGACCAAGGGTTTTTGCTAGTTGAGATAAGGATAGCTATACAGGGAGTTGACTCGCATTGCTTTTCTATACATGTGTGTTACCTTCTAAGTTAATTCTTCTTGAACTAACCTTTTCTCTAGTTCCTGGTCCCCTTCTCCTATTGGCCTTAGTTGCTGTAAAGTATCTGCTTTAGTTTCTCTGTGTTGAGGGCAACAAATGCTATCTAGTGTTTTGGGTGTCTTACCTATCCTCATACCTTCCTTGTGTGTTCCTGCTTTATCATGTGATCAAAGTCCAGTCCCCTTGTTGTGTTTGCCCTTGATCTAATGTCCACATATGAGGGAGAACATACGATTTTTGGTCTTTTGGGCCAGGCTAACCTCACTCAGAATGATGTTCTCCAGTTCCATCCATTTACCTGCGAATGATAAGATTTCATTCTTCTTCATGTCTGCATAAAATTCCATTGTGTACAAATACCACATTTTCTTAATCCATTCATCAGTTGTGGGGTATCTTGGTTGTTTCCATAACTTAGCTATTGTGAATCTGACTGTAAAAGTTTAATAAATTGCCCAGAGTTACAGAGTTAGTAGAGTTAGAATTCCAACCCAAGTTTATCTGACTCTAAAGCCTTGCTCTTTAACACCTTTGGTCGGTTGCTGGATAATACATGATATAATGCCATAGCCCCAGACCGTGTTCCTACTCATTCGATCCTAGTGGATAGGGTAGCTTGAATGCAGAGCTCAACTCTGAAGTTGCTTTACTCTTTTTCCTGTGTTATGAGTTCAAGTCAGGAATATGAGCTTGTCTTTCTTGCAGGCTGAGGTTTCAGGCATCTGCTTGAGTGGCTTTCTGTACCAGGAAAGGTCCTGTGAAGGCCAGAGACAGCTGTGCAGCAGTGGCATTCAGGTCCAGTCCGGGCCAGGCCAAGACCCTGGAGTCCTTGTCACAACCCGGCCCGAAAGCCTTATAATTTTACCATACCTGTTGGCTCCCAGCCCTAGCCATGTTCATACCTTTCACTTTGCTTATCCCATGCCTCATCTTTTCACCTGTCACTTCCTCCACAAAGCATCCCTGGTCATGCACTCAGAATTCTTTTCCAGTTTTGTTGGAGTTGACAAACCCTCCTAAAGCCTACTCTTTTTTTTTTTTTTTTGGTGGTATTGGGGTTTGAGCTCTAGGCCTTGCCCTTGCTAGGCAAGCATTCTACCACTTGAGCCATGCCCCCAGCTCTTTTTTTTGTTTCTGTTTTTTTTTTTTTTTTTTTGCTTTAATTACTTTTTTAGGTACAGTCTTATATTTTTGCTTGGGGCCAGCCTCAGACTGTTCTTCCTACCGCAGGTATGCACCACTATAAAAAATAAGTCATATTTTTTGTGTGTCCCCAACTTTCCCTCACTCTAGTCTCACAAGAAGTGTTAGTTACTGCCATTATCTGGTGTTCTTTCAGTTCTAAACAGTCATCTAAGTGACTCTGCTTCTTGGGAGAATGGGGAAGGTAGAAAATAAGCATCTTAACTCTCAAGCCACACCAATCAAGTTATGTATTATTACTATTAATACTGGCAATGATAAAAGATACCATTTGTTAAATGCTTTTCCTCTGCTACATGATTAACTTATCTTTTCAGCAATCCTGTGAGGGGAAGGCTTTTTTCTCTGCTACTTGATTAACTTATCTTTTCAGCAATCCTGTGAGGGGAAGGCTTTTTTGTGTTGTTTTGTTTTTGCAGTAATGGGGTTTGAACTCAGGGTCTCACAGTTGCTAGACAGGTGCTCTACCACTCTAGCTACAACCCCAGCCTGAGGCAAGGCATTTATCATTTCCATTTTATTGATGAGAAAACTAAGGTGCTAAAAGGTTAAGAAACTTGCCCAAGGTTACATATGCAGAAAGACTGGGATTTGAAGGCTAGTTTGGCCAAAGCCTGTGTCCCTAACCTCTCTGACAGTATTCAGGGGCACAAATTGGAACATGCTGTGTCACACTATTCTGCATCAAGAGGGACTTTGCTGCTTTTGAGTGACTCCTGTCAAATAGCTTTGGTTTCCTTTTCTCTAAGATCACAGTTTTCATGGTTGGAAGGGACCTTCAAGGTGATCTAGAAAACCTGCTTCCTAGCACTACAGTCCCTTTGGCAAAGTTCCTAATGGTCCTTTGGCCTCTGCCCAAACATCTAGTGATGACATGAGAACCATTTATGAGGGAGGCAGCTTCTGTCTGATAATTGTTGTGTGAGTCTTAAAACAACACTGTTAAGTCTTTTCTTCATTTATACAATAACACTTTAGGTGATAGAAGCATAGGCTTTGTGCCCCTTCCTTAACCTTCCTTTATGTGACATGGCTTTCTGGTCTCCCTTCTGTACTCTTTCCAATTTCTAAATGTCCTTAGGAAAACAAAGTATAGATTTCAGGTATGACTGGATTCATCAAAAGAGTGGTAGGACTGTTGCTCACTGTCCACTCTGTCTAGCCAGTTCTTGTTATTATATTCATCTTCTAGTCAAAATAGGCAAACCTTTTCTCCACAAATTGGGCCTATCAGAACAGTGTTTCTCATCTTGTACTTGAGGCATCTAAAAAATTATATCCTAATTTTCACTGATTTCTCTTTTAGTAAAAGAATAGCTTGATGTCTCCTGGTTCTGATAATGGTAGCCTGTCAACTAAATTTCCTGCCAACTGAATTTTCTTCATCATGTCCTAAATTTAAAATAGGGAAATGACTTTTTGGTTCCCTTTCTAGGTAGGGCCATCACCCAGTCTCAGCAGGAAGCAGACATAGAAGACATAGAAGGGGTACAGCCCCTCTGAACCCCTTTTAAGATTAAAAAGAACCAAAGTTGTTTAGGGGGAAATGTGGCCAGATAGATAGATGAGGGAACAGGGAAATTGTGTTATTCTAATAAATATTTAAAGGGACAGACTCAGACATTGGAACAAGGAAGTAAAAACTGAAAAGCCTGAGCAACTAGTGTCCTCCCATCTCCTTTTAGTTGTTAAGTTACAGGAACAGAGGAGACTTAACAGGGGCTACCTGCTGCAAGACTCCTTGAAGGAGTAGAGGAAAAAGCTTCTCTGGCTAAGGGAAGTCCTAAAGCCCACCTATTGTTCCTGTGTTTTGGGTGGGCCTAGATAACATCTCCATATTAGTTAACAGCACCCATCTTGGGTACTCAGAACCATTACCTAATGGTTAGGG